GTGTATGTATGTTTATGTGTGTACATATGCATCTCTATACGTGCATGCATGTGTATGTGTGTGCTACTTACAGTTTGTAGAACTGCATAAAGAGAATCTTGCAAACTCTTCTGCAGTGTTGGATAAAATCCCAATTCCTTACAAAGGCCTCAGCATTCCACAAGATCTGACAGAAACTCCCACAATCCCCACACCATCGGTCTTTCTCCTCACTTTCTGCTTCTCAGTGCATGAGGACTCTTCTTCAGCGCTTTGTGCTTACTCGTCTATTGCAGGATAGTGTTCTAGCTGCTGGTTCTTGGCCTTCATGTCTCAGGCTAACTATGCTTTTCTCAGAGAGTTGTTTCTGACCACCTACGAGCAATAGGCTTCTCCCCACTCATCTCAGAAGACCATTCTATATTATTTCCTTCACAGACTTCAACACAAGACACACTGATGTACTTTTTATTTATTTATTTAGTTAGTTAGTTACTGTTTATTCACTTTGTATCCCAGCTGTAGCTCCCTCCTTTGTTCCCTCCCAATCCTACCCTCCCCTCCCTCATCTCCTCTCATGGCCCTCCCACAGTCCACTGATAGGGGAGGTCCTCCTCCCCTTCCATCTGACCCTAGTCTATCAGGTCTCATCAGGACTGGCTGCATTGTCTTCCTCTGTGGACTGGTAAGGCTGCACCCCATTGGTGGGGGGAGGGGTGGTCAAAAAGCCAGCCACTGAGTTCATGTCAAAGACAGTCCCTATTCCCTATACTAGGGAACGCACTTGGACACTGAGCTGCCATGGGCTACATCTGAGCAGGGGTTCTAGGTTATCTCCATGAACGGTCCTTTGTTGGAGTATCAGTCTCAGAAAAGCCTCATGGGCCCAGTTTTGTTCTTTATTTTCTCCCCTTGTGGAGCTCCTGTCCCCTCCAGGCCTTTCTATCTCCACCTCATTTCATAAGATTCCCTGCACTCTGCCCAAAGTTTGGTTATGAGCCTCAACATCTGCTTTGATACTCTGCTGGGTAGAGTCTTTCAGACTCCTGTCCTGTTTCCTGTTTTCTCCTTCTTCCAATGTCCTTCCCATTGCCTTTCTGAGTGAGGCTTGATCACCTCACCCAGGGTCCTCCTTCTTGCTTAGCTTTGGTTTCACAGATTTTAGTTTTAATCCTCCCCTTACATGTACAATGGAATTCAAGTCCATAAGCTCTCCTTACCATGGTGGCTGCCATGCAATGAAGTCAGTAAATATTATATGATGACACTGAAGGGCGGAGTGAGGACTCTGGTGACAGAGTTCTAGCGTGGTGTGCACAAGGCCCCAAGTTCAGTCCCTCATAGTGTAAGCGTGTGCTGAATCTTCCCTGAAGCACTACTATGAAAGCTTCCCATGGCAAAACGCACCACTGAACTTCATTTGGCCATATGCACAATAACCTGAGAACACCATTTCTAGCCAGTAGCTACTCTTCAATCGGCTCCCAACTGGAATTAATTCTACAGCTCATACTAACACTTCTGAGCAGTTTCAACAGTCAGGGACTAATCTGAGAAATTATCTTATTCCCAAGTCTTTGCTGGGTGTGAGCTGATCCTTGAAACGGCAGGGTCTCACAGTCACACGAGTCACCCGTCCAGCCACGTCTGGGCTGGAAGGAAAATGTACAGGGAAAGGATGTATCTGGAAAGGCAAGCCCTTCCTCCAAGGAGACAGGTCACAGTTCTGCTTTTCTTTCTTTCTTTCTCTTAAGAATTTATTTATCACCTATACAAGTTTTCTGCCTGCACTTGTGCCTTCACGCCAGAAGAGGGTACCAGTTCTCGTTATAGATGGTTGTGAACTGCCATGTGATTGCTGAGAATTGAACTCAGGACCTTTGTAAGAGTAGACAGTGCTCTTAACCTCGGAGCCATCTCTCCAGCCGCCTCTTTCTTTCTTTCTAAGATAGTGAGAGTTTACATAAAGTTTTTATTTAAAAGTGATGGTTCATAAAAACAAGTGCTTTGTTTACAGTTTCTACTATCTTCTATACAAGTAACCAAATCCTCTCCACTACAGTCACCTCCTAACTTCCTAAAGTTTTTGCTATGATATAGCCCAAGGCCATCTCAAGCTCTTAGTCTCTTAAGTGATGGAATTATAGAAATGAGCCACAGTGCCAGGCTATGAATTATTCTTTAGGTAACTTTGTGCCTCCTAAAGTACCTATATATTAAAAAGACACGTGTTGAAAAAGTCCTAACATCTATGTACCACATGGGTCAAGAGCTACACCCTGGCACTCACAATCCTTCTGACCCATCAGGATTTTGACATTTAGCACCACTAAGCTGGGGAGTTATGAAAAGCTGAGCTCAATAAGTTTTACTACACACAGAAGTTAAGACTATCATATGGTTAATGGAACAGCATGTTTTCAAGATGAAATTTCAAAAATTAGTGGTGACACAAAACTCAGAAAAGGAAAAAAGTTACAAGTTAGGTGTTCACAAATCTCAAATATGAACAAGATTTTAAGCTGAGACGAAGATTTTGGGAAGGATGTACAGGTCATCTTCTACGGTTCAGTTCGGTGATGCTTGCTGTGAAAGGGACAGCCTACGTCAAGGATCTCAAAGTCTGACAGTGGGAGGAAGAGAAATCCTGCAGCAGATTTGTTCCTCCTCCGTGAGGAACGCTGCCCAAAGGGCATGAAAAGCCGTGGGCGTGAGTGGAGCCGAGCATTCCCCACACTCAGTAGTAAAGCACTCTTTATTACCAAAGAACAAGAAACAGGCATAGTAACAACCTTGCCAAAACACAACACTCCATGTAGGAGACCAGGACTCCCTACCTTCACCACTCTCCATGCCTTCTACGAAAATCCCTCCGCACTGAGGAAGGATCCAGTATCTGCGTCGGTACCGGTCCTGACCGAACATCATGGAGCGTAACGAGTGAGAAGCGTCGAAGAGCTTCCGCCTGTACTGGCTCTGTTGCTGTTGAAAAGCCATTCAGAAAATTATGTCACACACGCTAGGTGACTTAAAAGCTAACAAAGGAACTTTATGTTTACCACAGCATCATACTGCACAGCAAAGGGCTGAACGTTATACACCCAACACAATTCCATTCACACCCATGAAAGAAAGAATAGTTTCAAAACAAATGAGGGTAAGAAAGCTCTTGGATTCAAGTAGGGCTTAAAAGGTAAGTTTTATTTTTACCAGGATCATCAAAAGCCACAGGATTGTTTATGCCAATGAAGACATTACTAAGCCAAAGTGGATTGGCTGATTACAGTATATTGCCAATATACTCCTGCATTAGTTAACTGTGTCTCATTTGCTTAGTTGTATACACATGCTTTGTCAACATGTGCCTTATTTCTGACATATAGCTTTGGATTAGATACTGAATCACAGCATTTCTCATTGAGAGTGTTCTAAGGCTTGGAGGAAGGAAACAGAAGAAAGAAATGATGTAATTATTATAATCTCATCCTAACCCCCCCTTTTTCTTACAAAAGCTGCATCTTAAGTTATATTAACGACACTAAGATACAGAATATATACATAAATATATAAACTTTATAAATATGAGTAATCAATATGCATAACATGTATGCATGTATGTAAACGTGATTCATAAATACACAAATATAAAATGAAATGTGAATACTCAAACTATTACTATGAAACTCATAGAAATTTGAGTAATAAGTTCCAAGAGATTTTATCTTTACTGATGCATCAAAGTACAACTGAAGACTCCAGAACTCTTTCTTTATAGATCTGGTTAAGCATAATGTCTTCAAAGGCTTTTAACGTAGCATTAAGCCAGTGAGGTTTATGAGAGAATGAGTCTACACGTCTTCTGTTTAATCACTTATAGAAAAATGAATCCTGGGCTGGAGAGATGGCTCAGTGGTTAAGAGCACTGTCTGCTCTTCCAAAGGACCTGGGTTCAATTCCCAGCACCCACATGGCAACTTACAACTGTCTGTAACACAAATTCCAAAGGATAGGACACCTTCACACTAATGCACGTAAAATAAAGTTAAAATTTAGAAAAGAAAAAAGAAAACTGAATCCCATACATGGACTTTAGAACCCAATACACAACAGTGAACACACATCCGGAAGCACTTACTTTGCTCAGTTTTTCTATCTGTTTTTCTAGCTCCTCAACACTTGCTGTTTGGTCACCTTCATCCTAAACAGAACAAAATACAGGATTATTTACATGCTTGAAAGTCTCATTCCTTAGTCACTACTGCACAAATGCAACACACACACACACCACGCACGCACACACCACGCACGCACACGCACTTATAAAGCAGTAGAAGAGGCATGAGGCCTCCAAGGGTCTCTTCTGAGGATGTATTTTGTTCAGTTTTCAGAGGCTTGAGTCCAGGGCTTCACCCATGCTACGTAAGCATTTTAATGTTGAGCTGTACCCCTAGGCCCAGGCTTTTTTAAGGTAATGCTTAAAGAGCCAACTGAAGGCCTTGGCCAGGACACTATGAGCATTCGGTCATTCAGTTACATCCTCAGCCTATCAACTAACTTTGATATTCCCTCTAGTACTCTCTTTCTGACATTATCTTCAATAAGCAGCATTTTTTTTTTCAAAATTCACAACCACTCATTCATATACATCAGAAAAGAGACTATACTTCATCTATCATTTATGCACTTTTAATTAGATGAGTCCAGGGAAGGGTTATTCTGAGCTAAAAGGAACATGAATTTTAACTGGGATCAAAGAAACCTCAAAAGGAAAATAGGCCCCAAACCCTTAAATCCTGACTCTCAAATAATACTTAAATATTGACGTAAAATGATCTTTGGACAAGCAGGGCAAATATTTGAGAATTTACAAAAGCAAAAATTATGCTCCAATCAATAGATAACTGGAATAAGGTAACAAAATAGTCATATGACAGCCAAATATAATCCCTCCAGTTATGCTGTGGAGTTGGGATTGTCCCAAGGCCGGGTGAAAGTAAGGCAAGTGTTCTGCAGATGTGGTACACCCCACCTACATAATGCAATTTTTAAGACTTCTCTCAGGATGAGAGAGGAATGACAGTATACTAAGTTTTGACTGTGGGGTCAAAACACAATTTTAAGGAATATAAAAGAACTTAGAAGATCAGATAGAAACGTGGCAACAAAAAGAACATGTATCATTATCAAAACAGGAAACAGAAATAATCCTCACCACAGTTCTCCAATGGTTCTTAATGAATCACCATTATGTGTGCCTTCGTTCAACACAAACTCAGGCACACCACCCAATGAGCTCAGCACGGCTGACAATTAGCAAGGTCATGTAGAAGTGAGAGCAGGGACAAAAGGGACTGGACGGGGACAAAGGGTATGAGGGCAGCATCTTCTAACTGAGGGGATCATATGAGCCTTAATGAAAGAACTCCCTGTAATTAATCCTTTCATAGCAATTGTCTTGAAGCACTAACCAGACCTTAAGCAAGAAGCCAAGCTTAGTCTCAGATATTACTACTACGTTATTACCCAGTCAGCATTTAATACATCTTCCAGGTCCTAAATATAGACTCCCTCAAAAAAGCTCTTTTTTCTTAAAGAGACTGTTGAATCTGTATATATGTATATAACAACGACAATTAATAAAAAAGAGGTCATAAATGTAAGAGCAAGGCAGGTATATGGAGGATATGGAGGGAGGAAAGGAAATGGATAAAAGATATAATATCAAAATATAGTAATTAAAATAGTAAATGTGGAAGAAAAAAATTGAGACAAGGTTTTACACTGCAGGAATACATTCAGAGCAATGTATTGTCAGTGATTTCATTACTTGAGTATCACAGAGAACACTGCACAAAACAAGGTGCTAACCATGCCATCGGGTAATACAAGCTAGGGGACCACTGTCTCATGCCTGCGGAGTAAAACATCTGCACACACAAGGCAAACTCAGCATCTTTACTTTAGTCCATGTTTCTCTCCATGTCCAGCCATGCCTCTGACTGCTTCCTTAATTACCAAAAAACAGGTTAAGAGATAAATACAACATTACCTTCAGCTGGGGACATCAGCACTGACAAGCCTGGAGGGGAAGGGAGGAGGAAGAAAGAAGAAGAGGAGGAAGAGGAGGAGGAGGAGGAGGAAATTATCTTCAGATGAAGAGACTGTAGAAAGTAAATGTCACAAACTGAATTCAGATTATAGCCCGAGGGGCTTCAATTTCATGTTGATTTTTGGGAGGTTGCACAGGTCTTGTTAAATCTCATACAGGAACCTGAATTTGATTACCTCATCCTCACAGAGATCAGCCTTCTTTCCTTTTTTGTCATCTTTATCTTCTTCGTCTTCATCATCCTCATCAGCTTGGTCATCACTGTCATCATCATCATCATCATCATAGTCACTGTCACCTCCCTTCCTCCTCCGCTTGCGTCCAGGAGTGGGTGTCCCCAAGGGATGCTGCTCTTCCCCGAGATCAATGCCCCCCGAAGCGTCTCTCTTGCCTGTTTTCTTAGCATGAATTATCCTAAGTCTTTAAACATTGAAAGAAAGACTTAGACTAGAAAGCTACTCTTGTCGTCGTTAAGAAGATAATTTTTATGAGCAAAGCTTTGCTGGGGTGTCTTTCTCCCTTTTTTCCATAAGTATTAAGGAGTCAATCCAGTGTTTCTTAGGTAATCATCACCACTAAGTAACATGCCCATGCCCTTGGGTCTGAAGCTGACTGAAATTGGTGACCCTCCTGCTTTTGCCTACTAGGTGCTGGGATTACAGGTATGCACCACCATATCCAGCTCATAATGTGAGTCCCAAACAGGAAAAATCTTGTACTCAGGTGGTAAGCAATATATTAATGACAGTAAAAAAAAAAAAAAAAGAAAAGTTGAAGCATTGTTTCCATAAGTTACAGAATGTATAAAGGTCAATGAACTCTCTCTTTGTAATTAAAACATATTAGACAAAAAATTCCGAAAGCTGAGATAAATAATTCCAACAATGATCAAGTACTTCCTGATTACTATACTGTGTGCCTAACAAAATTTCAGTTCAAATTATGGCAAAGAAACTAATTTTGTAACATTTTACAAAATAAATGTATTCATTTTTATTTTATGTGGCTTATTTGCATGTATGTATGTGTGCCCCGTGAGAGCCTGTGGCTCACAGAGGTCAGAAAAGGGCACCAGGTACCTGAAACTGTATCTACAGATGGCTGTGAACAACTGTGCAGTGCTGGGAGTTAAACACAGGCCCTCGCAAGAGCAGCGGCACTCCCAAGCCCTGTAGCGCCTCTCCAGCTCAGAAACTCTTCTGTTGGTTTCTTTGGAGATTTGGGAAAGGGTATCTCTACGTAACCCAGGCTGCTCTTAAATTCTAGATCGTCCTGCCCCCGCCTCCCAAATGCTGGGATTGCAGGTGTGAAGGCTTCTGCTTGGAGAGCTATGTCCTCTTTACACAGCAGTTACTAACTGTACCGTTATTTACTTCCTGGCTGGGAGAAAATTGCATTTTGATGTTGAATAATTTTTCTTAAGATTTTTTTTAGATGCAGACTTTAGTTTAAAATAAAGTCATTAAAAGAAAGGATAGTCTCAAGTAGATATCCGGTAATACAAAAGCAATCTGGTAGCAACAACAATAGCAGGAAACATAGTCACTTCAGGGAGAAAAAAGGGGAAATGCATCTTTTATGTTTGAAGCATGAATTCAATGAATCTTTTTTTGTTTTTGTTCTGCTATGGACTCTGACCCAAAGTCTTATTAATTTTAGATTCCATCATCAATTTCAGATTTCAGATTAAGCAGTAATCTTCCCAGTAGAAAGAGTAAAGTTGAAATTCCATCTTTGCAGCCCACATGGAGACTTGCATTAAAGGAGACAGCATGTTAGTTTTCATAAAGTGAGACTTACTTGCGGAGTTTACCTTCCACCATCCATTTATCTCTCCTCAAGTTTGACATGTACTCAATGTTCTTGTCAATCTCACTGCAAATACAAGAATGGATTACGATATAATCTGTTTGTGCAATGCATACAGTTAGTGTGCATAATCATGTATTTTAATAAAGTAAAATGATAAAAACTCCTTCCTTTCATATCCACACGGCTTTTTACATACACGGAGATTTACCTTATGAAGCAATCATTTCTTGATTCGATAACAGATCACTATTACGAAATTTGCTTTAGTTTCTACTTTAAAAAAAAAAAAGAGCTTTAGTACCCTTTCACAATTGTTTATAAAAATGGCATTCTGATGAGGTTGGTATATATTTAAGGAGTGACCATATGCACATTCAAATGGGCAATCAGGACATGGATGGGTATGCGTTAAGTGTATACATACTCACGTACAGATAGTATCACTGTGGGGATACATATGTCCAAATGGAAACCAAAAACACGGTGTTTGCTGGTGGTACTAGAATAGTGGTACCTTTATTCTTCCAAAACAGCAAACCTTAGTGTTCTCTGTATATTGAGTTTACATGTGTGTATATATATTTTAAAGAGCCGCCCAGCATTAGTATGTGTTATCATTTTATGCATAATGAAATTAATTCCCTGATTCAAAGCTTACATCTTATTTCATTCTTGGAGCTATCCCCCAAAGAACACAAGAACAAATAGTAACAATCATATTAATATATGGTGGCTAAGATATGTACTGAAGATTTAATATGTCCCTCAAAGGTAGAAATAAATAGTACAGAATATTCACAAATCTTTTTTTTTCTAAAAAGGTAATAGACTAAAAGTAACATAATTGAAGTTTTCAACGGTAAGAACAAGCACAGGATGAATGGTGAACCTGAAGGCCAGAGCACTAACCAACTCTTTCACTCTTAACAAGTACTAGTACCAGTAGGACCTGAATCTTAAATGAGATTGAGTACTTCTGAAAAAAGCATAAACTAATTCACGGACAAACTAGGAACCTAAGGCTATAGCAGCATACACCCAAATAAGTGGCTAGATCATTCTATGGGTTTCTAAAGAAAATCGGGTCCTCAAAGATGTCAGGAAAAGAAAAGTTCTGGATCGCTACAATCGCCCTGAATTCCCGAACTGTAGTAAACAATAAAACAGATTTCCACTATATGAAGAATCAGCAAAATGACTAAACAACACAGGTAATAAAAACTACAGATTACATATACACAATAGAACGCATAGAAATCAGATGAAATAGTATTGGTGGCCATCTCTAAATGGTGATTTATGATTTTGATTTTCTTCCTGGTGCTCGTCTGTAATTTTCAAATTTTTCAATAAGCATTTTGAATTTCCCTGGGACTGCACACAATCGAGCAGGGCAGAGGGGCTTACCTCACCACACTCTTGCTGCACGCCAGCTCATTAATGAGGAAGGCCAGGACTGAGGCTTTCTGCGCTGGAGTGTGAGCCTGAAAAGCCTTCGTCTTCAGGCTCTCGGTCAGCTCAGTCTGTCCACCGTGGGCTTCCATGAAAATCTGCAAAACCTCGGACACATTGTCTCGATTCACACCAACATTCAGCAAATGTTCTCCAAGAGCTGTTTTGGCCTATAAAGTTTGGCATTTTTATCAGTGTTTATCATATTCATTTAATAATAATGATAAAATATTAGTTTACATGTTCTAGGTACTACCAGTAAGAACTTTATTACCACAGATTTAGAGAGGAGATAAAAACAAACAAAATGATTGACAAATATTTGAGGGTCCATCTTAATCTATCCCTCTGGTTAAACCCTTACTAAATTCAGATATGGAGAAGAACCTGACTATTGGAAAAAAAGAAGATTTAAGGAGTCAATCAACTATTCTTTGTCTGCAAAGACATTTTGTAACTAATGACAGAGTAAGGATGATCAAAAGTACTGATTGCTTTTTTCCTTTTATGTTTTACAGGTGAGGTCAGCAAGTAGGCATATAGAGAAAAAACATTGTATCTGGAAGCTTATCTGTCATCAGTCTTATCCAGAGCAAAGCTACCTTGAACGTGCATCTGAGCAGGAGCAAAGACAAACGTGAATGGATGGAGTACCCGCTGACCAGTACAGCTCCAACAGCGCAATGCATCAGCCTATTCACAGCAATTGACAGAGGAGGGCTTCAGAATATGCATGCAAGTTCTAGGTCTCTTATGAATTATGAAGTCTGTTTTCGACCTGAACTTTGCCTACACTAAAGCAATGGAGTAACGGAGAAACTGGTCCACGTTTCTCAGGTCAACCAAGATTCTTCTACATCTGTCAATTGTTACCTAGTATAAGCCTACACTAACTCCAAGAGATACATAGAAACAACCAGATAAAGATACATCTAAACAGTCTTTGGCTCCCAGGAAGGTTAGAAAGAAATGTTCAGGGAGTGTGAAATCAGACAATTGGCTGCACCTCCGTCTTCCTTACCTTGTATCCTGTTAGGAGACCTGGATCGCACACAGCAGCTGACAGCAGCCTCACCAGCAGGTCCTGCACTTCACCCATGCTGTCCCCTATATTTAGCAATCCCTCCTGGAGCACACTGAGGGTCGGGACATCAAGATTCACATCAAAACCCAAAACTTTTCCAAAGTTGCGTAAAAACTGCACCACCATGAGACAGTCTGAAAACGTGGTTCCAGAGAGCACAAGTCCCGGGATGCGAGGCCACTCTGGCAAGGGCTGAAAGTAAAGTGCAAGCAAAATTAAAGGCGCCTTAAACATTAAAGAGGACTTTATCTGTGTATATAGAGTTCCCTATATATTTATGTGTGCGCTCACATGCTGACAGTCTTCCTTGGTGGCTCTCTACCTTGTTAAACGTTCATTTACTGATTCACCTATGTGTCTGTGTTGCATGCGTGTGGGTTTGGGCAGGCAAGTGTGCCTGTGCAGGCCAGGGAACCAGCTGCAGGAGTTCTCCTCTAATCTTATGGGTTCCCGAAGATCAAGTTCAAGTAGCCAGGCTCGGCAGCAAGCACTCTGCTCGTTCAGACTGCCACCAGGCATGTCCCCCCATGTAAGCATCTCGTTTTTTAAGACAAGAGATTCTTACTGAACCCAGGCCTCATCAACTTGGCTAACCTGGTTGGCCAGAGAAATTCTTCATCTTCTGTCCTGGGTTTCAATAAATATAATTTTGATACTTCACATGATTTAAGAAAATAAGAGTCCACTGAGAAAAGCCTGCTCACTGTAAGCTTATTAAATATGTTAACTAACTTACAGGGAAAACCCCATGCTCCTTAGGAAAATGCAAGCACCCAAACAAATGAAGCTGGAAAGTTTACATTAATTTTTATCTTAAAGCAGTTAAGATAAGTAAAGTAAACCGACTGTTAATATAATGCAATAGCTACTGAGTCATTGAATGTTTGCATGAAGCATGCTGACAAAGGCGCCTGGACAAAACAGGGCAATGATATGTAACTGAGAAGGATAAGGCAGAACCAGAACACAGCTGTCATAGACCAGGCACAGTGATATATTATGGGGCAGTTAGAGAAACTGTCTGTGTTATTGATAGGTTCTTTTTTTTTATTTTTACAAACACTGTATCCTTAGCTATATTTAAAATTAAACTTATTTCCACTCTAAAATAGAGCACACCACACTGGATCCAAGGTTATTCTGCTCTTTCTTAATAACTATTCTCATGCACTGCGGCAAAGCCACGTTTGCCTGTAAGACTGAGGAGGAGAAAATCCAAGATCCTGTGGCAGGACAGTTTCTTTGATCTCAAGATGACAAGGAGCAAGGCCTCTGACAGCAGACAAACTGCTTCAATACACAGCTGTTTGTCAGTGGCGAAATCAAGGGCAGGTCTGTCTCTATCTTCATGAATGAATGGAGACAAATAAATAGGAGCGGCATGGGACTCTGCTGAGGGCTGGCTAAAACATGTAGCCCAGGGAACTCACACCGGCACTGAGCCGGGCATGCAGTAAAGACAGCCAGAGAAGGCTGGCCCACAGCTAACTGGGAACTCACAGGTAAATCTAATTTACTTAAATCTATATGAACTCTGAGATGTCAAGCCTTTGTGTGCCTCAGGACTGGACAGAAGGCAGCCATGGACACACAGCCGACTTTATCTTGTAGGTTTCTGTGGAGTATCTACAAAAACAGAAGGCTTTGCAGTGACACAGTGGCCACCAAGGAGACAGCTCACAGTCCAGGCCAAATGAACCCGTCTCGGTTCTGGAAAAGGAATCTGGGGAGAAAAGTGGAGAAATGAATTTGCTGGTGAGATGGCTCGCGCAGCACGGATCACCTTTTGGTCTGCTAAGCACATGTCCTCCTTAGGCTTCTTGAGCTCCTTCGCCATTTCTAACTCCAATCTCCGCTGTTCTAGTTTGCGCTCCTTGTTCAGTCTTTTCTCATCGCGCTTCTCTTGTTTCAATCGTTCTTTTTCCTTAAAGAGAAAAGCACGCATGTAATCCTCACATGTGCTTGAAGACACCCTAGTGGAGGTAGACCCAAAGCGATCAAATTATTATTTAAATGGACAAAATCACCTTAAGAAGCCTAGGGATAAGTTTAGAATTAATTACACAGAAGCATGACTTACTTATTTTCAAGTATTTCAACTTCTGAATTGTGAATAAGTATGTGTATGTGTGCACATTTTGTGTGTGTGTGTGTGTGTGTGTGTGTGTGTGTGTGTGCGCGCGTGCGTGTGCAGTGATCACCACTGCCATAAGCTTCAGAATCCCTGGAGCTGAGTTAGGAGCTTTGATGAGCTACTTGATGTGGGGGCTGGGAATTGAACCTGGGCCCTCTGCAAGAGCATGACACATCCTAAACCACTAAGCAATTTCTTCATTACTGTCAGCTATTAGATTTTAAAATAATTAAAATAATCGTATGGTTGGTAATAATGTTATCTATCTTTAACATAAAACCAAAACCTTTTAAATAATAGGACTATTGATGAAGACTTCTATTATTCAAAACCTGTTTGAGCCTTCATCTTTGTATGAAAGTCTATGTTAATTAAGGCACGTGGGCAACGGGGCTGCTACAAAGCTGAGGTAACCAGCATCAACACTGCCATGTGGGCCTGCGGGGTGTGACAGGGAGTTTCCATTCCGTGGAATGGTGTGAACTTGCAGAAGCAGCTCGTGCAAAGCCAATCACCTAGTCTAGAGCACCCGATGAAAGAAATAGCAAGCTTATTTTTCCCATTAACACAAGTTTATAATTCGGATTCGATTATGAAAGTCACACCAACATTTTTAAGAAAATGGAGATATGCTTAGGAAGAGTTCTGACAGCCGTAATTTGTAGCTGGAACTTGAATGAAGAGGACTGGGACCTGTGGGCACGTGCTGTAACATTAGTTTTATAACATGACGGTGACAGTAACAGATAGCTGCTGCTATCTAGACGGTGGCATCGAACACACTGAAAAGGGTCACTGAAATGCTACTCAGGAAAATTAACGTATATTCTAGTGCTAAGCTGCCACCTTTCACCGCTGACGCAGCTACGAAAGCGGATGTCAGATCATGACACACCTGTACTCTGGAAAAAAATACAACAGGAAAACAACCTTTAATCTCTACGCTTATGGTGTTCCACAACTTACCTCGGCTTTCTTACGCGCTTCCATCGCCTTCACAAGCATCATGTGCTGCCGCCTTCGCTCGCGTTCCTGTCAGGCCAGACAAAATTAGGAGAACGACTCAACACGATGGTCAAGGGCTCAGGTGTCAAACGGAAAAACAACAACAACAACAACAACAGAAACAAAAACTCAATATAGCATGTTTAGCATCTGTAGACAAGTCACAGTAAATACTAAATATAAGACGAGAATGGCCATTCTGTGCATGTTTTAGTTCAAGGTTTAGAAAGCAAATACAAGAGCAATCAACAGCAAAAAGGTGAAGCAATGAGCATGGAGACAGCGTAAACAGAGCACACAAGGTTCACTTATGGTCAGCTGTGACGCTCCTTCAAAAGCTGCCAGAACAGAAAGCGTAACGGTTGGCTGGAACAGGCCAGTTACCTTACATCTGCTATTAGAAAACCACAAAAGACTAGAGCCAATTGCACTAGAGGTTATGTTGTTCTTACAATTTAAGATCAGGTAGAAATTAAGCCATAATCATTTTTACATCGTGGTTTTAGAATTGATTACGTTAATTTCAAGTATAAAATCAGTTTAAGTCCAATAATCCATCAATAAATTAGAAAGATTTTAAAAAGTGTTTATACCAATTATAAGTTAGACTAGTCATGGTTCATACACATATACCAACGAAATGTGAGATTCCTATTTACTGATGTCTGATGCACTGTTCAAAGTACAAGAGCTATACCGCGGGCTAATAAGAATAATCCAAAATGCCCAGTTTAGAAATAAGGTACGCACTACTGTAATTTGGTAACTAATTCTAATGTAAAATTTCATATTATTAATATTTAATCAACGTTTTGGTTTTACCATATTTGGTCCCTCAAAGGGGTATTTCTAAAATTTGACTTTAAAACCAGAATATATTTCATATTCTCTCATCAAGCAAATTCAAAATTCCCATTTCACTTAATGGCAGTTTTGCATTTACAAGGATAGGAGAATATGGGTCACAATTTTATCTAAATTTATAATGAGTTAACGTTCCTTGTGACATCAGTAATGTACATTTTTAGACAGGAATTTTACGCAACTCAATGGAAGGAATCTTAAAGACGTATCACACTTCTTTATAGACAGACAAGCAGATGTATGCAATGCACTGTGCTGTAAAGCCATGCAGCAGTATGTAATATGACAGCAGCCAGTGCTACACTTTATGCATTGCTATGACAACCATATCACAACCAAATCACAATGCGGTGTTAGATGTACAAAAATAAACATACCCATACCATATCTAGTCTATGCCTCTCCAACTCCTGGTAGAAAGAGTTGGCACAACATTATGAAACAGAAATCACAGAGTCATAAAACCAAATTTAACCCCCCAAAGACACCAATACCAAAGCAAGGCAATAAACCATAAGACAAAGGGAAAACTTAAGCAGGAATTATATCAGAAATTTTAAAGAAAGTATTCTGAAGAGTTCCCCCCCGCCAAATAGTTAAGCAAAACCATCAAGTACTTTCCAGAGTTAGGCGCTATGCCCATACAGACCTGGTGCTTCAGAAGAACAGCCTGCTGCCTCCTCAGTTCTTTTTCCTTAAAAATAAGAAACCTTTGATATGTGGTTTTTAGGAGAGATTTAGAACACACTAAATAACAATTTCATGTTCGGGTCAAGTTTTTAGCCTTCTGATAGCTTTAAGCACAGAAAACTTCACCAGGCAATGTTTAGCTTGATAGACCTCTACCGATTAGCTAACACAAACTGATTAGTAGTGTCATTAGTGACAGGATGTTTCCCCAGTAGCTAGTTCAACCTAAAATTCAATGACTGACTGAACAATACATGTCAATGGCAAATTCACAAAACTGAATGGCATAGCATGATGAAAACCATACACGTTTTTAACAACTGCTCCATAAATTATGATTCTAGTCTTAAAAGTAGCTTCCTAAAGCCCTTCCCCCTATAAACACAGGGTCCCAAATATACTCTGTGCCTACATGGATCCATGTGTGCATGCATTTGTGTGTGTACCCACCCGCAGTTCACAATATCACCCCAGGGGGTGCAATGCAAAACAACGGAAGACTGTTACCTAATGACTACTGTTCAGCAGGTAAAATCTAGGTGAGATTACTATTAAGGACAATATGAAGGAGAACAGAAGAATTAAGAACATTCTGAATTCCAGAGAAAAATTAAGGGAGTGTGTGTTTCAAAGAGTGTAAACTAGAGTTAGGACAGAGTTTGGAAGGCGAGCTCCGCTCGGCTGCCAAAATTCTGCTTCGCAGCAAGCACACATGCAGGGCCCCAGCAAAAACAGGGCCAGCAAGGCCCTGTCCTGGCTCTTATTCGGTGGATCTGTGCGGCACCAGCAGGCTCAGCACTCAGTGGGAGGGAAGACAGAGCTAAGCAGGGAGGGGACAGCACGCCTCTCTCACACTTCATGCCAGGAAATCATAATCAGAACACCTCCAAATTTGGCTACAATAATCTACTGGACTGACTTCATTATTACATAACAGCTGACAGTTCTCTATCTGGTTTTCCCCGCTTGTTTGTTTACTTGTTTGTTTCTTTATAGACAGGGTCTCGCTATGGCGCTGCACTTGACTTCTCAGCCTCCTATGCCGGCCTTCTGACTGTAAGCATGACAGGTATGCGTCACAATGCCTGGACGATGCTTTTTATTTTTTAACAAATGAAACACTGGACATTAACAGAGAGGTACGGAGGGACAGTCGGGTTCTGGGCGTGGTCTGAAGCATAAACATAAACGACACAAACTAATTTGTGACATCATTCTTGTCAAGCAAAACTTAAATCCAGATGCCATGCACTAGTTTACATTTCTGATTATGGCTTCCATTTATGAATACCAGAATACCACATAAAACCTATATTAAGAAATAAAAACATACAAAAATATACATACAGATAAAAGCACACATTTACACACATTTTTCAATCGTAGTTTTGAGAAAAACTATTTTTTCATGATTGCTGTTATGCAAATGAAGTTTTTATTTTTGAAAATAAAAACTCTTTATTCTCACTAAACTAACCTTTGTTCGTTTCTCGGCCTCCAATAATTTGGCATTTGCCGCTTCTTCCTTCTTTTTCTTTTTAGCCTGTGCATGCAAAACAGGTCTCAAGTCATGCAACAGCACTGCTAAGACTTGCAGATAACCTCAGACTCGCAGCTACATGCCTCACAAGGTACGAAACAGTCATGTAACACATATGCAGACAATTACAAATATCCCCGCCACACATCACACTGTCTCCAATCTACAGATTAACGCTAACATAAATATATATGATCCTTAAGAATCACAAGATGACAATTTTTCTTCTATATACCGATAAACATCTGAAATCACATTCTCTTATCTTGACACTTAACAAAATGACTATCTCTCGTTTTTTGCATATTGGAAGATTTTAAAAAATATGTTCGGGAAAAATTTAGAACGAATTGGTATTAATGGGCAAATAGAACTTCAAATATAAATCAGTAACACATGTAAATACACATCTATTTTTTGACATTTCCTTTAATCCTTGATATTTTAGATAAAGACGCCCGTTCCTTGGCTATCCACATTAAACGAAATGCTGGGACTCTGGTTTCCCCCCTGCTGGTTCAGTGCTGGTTCTGTAATAGAGCAGAGCCTGCACTCTGACAACCCTGCACTCCTGGGCGGCAGCACGCCATCACCACCTAAAGTCCCCTGCCGCCTGGAGTGGCTGGCTGCTAGTTATTGTTCATCTGTCTTAGAGATGAAATGTTTTTAATTTAGGAGTTGGACAATTAGCTTAAACTGGTGAGGGAACCTGTGTGTATTCCTAGAAGAAAACAATTATAACAAAAAAGCTTAGGGCTCTGCAGACCTCGATCCATATAGTGTTCTTAAGAATTTCAAACCTTAAAATAGTAAAGGTTTATTTTTGCTTTATTTGAAAGAAATAATTGGAAGACATATGTTGGACATGAAACATAATTTGCTTTTTTCTTGATGGCAGGGCAGTCGTTTTGATGATGGGGCAAACCATTTCTAGGCACTGGTTATTACCTCATGACGTGACAGAGTGACTCTTTGGTCAACAAGGGTGTTGAAACCTGCTATTCAGGTAAAAAGTTCCACACTCTTGCTGGACCCGAGTCTGGTATGTGCTAACCCCACTTTTCTGTAGTTCCTCCCACTGAATTCTAGCTACTAGTTTTGACGTTAGCACTCCTTCAATCCCAAATGCTAGTCAGCTTGCAAAGAAGGGAAGCACACTAGGAGCCCTGACAGCGGGAACATTTCCTGCACTTAAAAGTTGGCTTTTATGAACAATTGTTTCTAAAACGTCCAACTATATGGCCTCAGGGCATTCCTGGCGGGGGGGGGGGGGGCGAAAGCTGCACTGGCTGCTCCTGTCCCCCCTTTCTTCGTCCTTCCTGCCTGCTTGTTTTACTTTCTGGCATTTTAGCAGGGCGATGGATAAACTTGCTGAAAAGGTTCAAAGACTGTCTCAGTCTGCACCCATCTGAAGAGACCTTCTAGTTATATACTCATTTGAACAGACAGGGTCAACCCATGCATTTTAAACATTTTATGACTTCAAGAGCATTTATCTTAATTACATTAAATTAAGAATTCTACCTCAAGAATTTGCTGAGCTCGGAGTTCCTTCTCCATTCTGATTTGCTGTATTCTCTTAATTTTTTCCTATAGGAAGAATTATAAAAATTTGAGATAATAAAATAAATATTTAAGTAATATTTTAATTTTAGTTGGAGTCAGATAACTTAAGACTGATTACAATAACTAATTACCAAGTGCTATCCATACTGTATCCAAAATTCAGTTATCTGTTAAAACGATTCACATGTGCACACCTTAAATTCATATGAGCTTAAAAATTTTCTCACAATTGTAAACTATAAATGTTGGAGGACTATACAGAAAACAAAGCTGATTAAACTTATATGTTTAGACAATATTGACAAATAATTACAATTACAAATAAAACAAATACACAGAAAATAAAGAAATATGTAAAGCTACTGATTGCTACTTACTGAATGAACTTGAACAAAGAACAATATTTCTAAAAATAATTTACATGCATGCCTTTGTCAGCTTGTCATAAGGAATGCTCTAAAACCATTACTATGTGTTATTACACAACTATAAGGTCATTACTAAAAATTATCATCAACTCTAAAACTCCTTTTACACGTTGACAACATAATATGAACAATGCTTTCAACTACAAAAATAAATCCATCTAGAAATGCTATGACTTTATAATGAATTAATTCAAATTTATAATCCAGAAAACTGCTTACATGAGATAATGAGATATTCAATATCTAAATTTGGTTATATTTATATTTAACATTAACTTGGTTTTTGGGGTGCTTGTTTCTCAAGACAGAGTTTCTCTGTACAGTCTTGGCTATCCTAGACTTGCTCTGTAGACCAGGCTGGCCTTGAACTCACAGAGCTCCACCTCCCTCTGCCTCCCGAGTGCCGGGATTAAAGGTGTGTGCTACCATGCTCGACTCTTACTGAAGTTTTAATAAGATACCCTCATGGCTGGGCAGTGGTGACGCAATGCCTTTAAACCCAGCACTGGAGATGGATCTCTGTGAGTTCGAGGCCACCCTGGTCTACAGGGTGAGGTCCAGGTCAGGGCTACAGAGAGAAACCCTGTCTCAAAAAGCCAAAAAGGGGGAAAAAAACCTTTCATATTCTATAATCATAGATAAGAAATTTTATTTCAAAATGTTCAACATTTCAAATTGGCATGGATAGAAATAAAAACCTAATAACAAGCAAAACCCTGACATTTCCCACTTCAGATTAGATTTGTTTAGAATTTCTGTATCAAACACATTTTCTCCATGTCTAGCACTGCTGTGTCTCTCTTGCAGTTTCCAAATGCACTGTTTGAAGCTGTGTTTTACTGTGATTTTGCTTCATTCTGTATATTCATATTATTGAATCCCTAGGAAGTATATATAAGAAAATCATGAGGTTTCAACAATCAGAAGATTAATCACACTATGATTTTGCTGATGGTGATCCTTTCTTGGTACTGAATGCTAGCAATAGCTTGCCAAAAGCAAAGCCCCAAGCATGTATTTTTGTATTATTTCTAAGTACTAGACTGCAGGATCATTATCTAGATTTTTATTGTTTATTTGTATCATTTAATTTAATTAGAAGTTGAGGCCTGAAGAAACATTCTTCTGAGACAGGGTTTTTCTGTGTAGCCTTGGCTGGCCTTGAGTTCAGAGACCTGCCTGCCTCTGCCTGGAGTGCAAGGGCCAGCACCCCAACATGGAACAAACATGTGCCCCCGGTGAAAATTTTTGGTTGTCAATCAGAGATTTTTTTTTTAATAGTGCCTTAAATCAGAACAGCACTGCACCATTCTCTCAACTGCAGATATGAGTAGACCCTCTTAGAATAATGCAATCTGGGCTTAAGAATATTCAGTTAAAAGCTTTATCCTAACTGCCCAGTATATATACTATGAATATTTGGAGACAGTATGACCAGCATGAAGGCTAGCACCATTTATAAACGTCCTATGACAGTATGTAGCCATGTATGGAGACGGTTACTCTACATACACTATCTTTTTTTTGTCATCAAAGAGCCTTAGTGGTTGAAACTAGATCCCTGTTCAAAGTGAGAACACTGCATTCTCACACAGGCCATATTTCACTATAATGCTAACAATCAGTCACTCCAATGACTGTCCCCAGCCTACTTCATCGTGATCTTGGAGAAAATGCTTTAAGGCCTCTTGTGGAGGGGGCACAGAGCGCCCACCTGGTCAGGTGTTTATGCACAAAGCCCTGGCTTCGGTGTACAGCACCGGCGGGGCGGAGTGGAACTGGGGCTTGCAAAATGTGCTCTTCTGTACACAGCACAGTCAGTGAGGTACTGACCCACAGCATCTGTGGCTCCCTGGGCTGTGCCTACACAAGACAGCACTGGTCAGCAGTCAACCAGGCAAGGGAGCACAGGGCCCTACCCCTCCCAGCTGGACTACTGGCTACTGGGGGATTCTGGGAATGAGAAAGTCACTGTCACCAGCTGTGTAACCACTGAGGAATCTACCAATTTCCAATAGATACTTTCAAACCCACAGTCACACAGCTAATGCTGGTTAAACTCAAACACAAAGCAAAAACAAAAACACAAATAAACACAAAAGACAACAATGTGGGAAATGACTTGTAGGAAACAAAGTTAGGGTAATAGGGGTTGGTGGGAGACTAGAAAGGGTGAGGGTTACTATAGGTGAATGCATGCATAAAATTGCCAAAGAAAATATTCAATAAAAATTACATATAAAAAGTAGGAAGAAAAAAAATAGCCTGGTGTTATCGTTTTGTCAATTGCTGTGTCAAAAATATCCAGAGAATTAGAAGACTCTCTTTTGTTCTCAATTAATGCTGTCCTGAAATCACCATTTCAGGGCGAGATGACGCACATCTGTAAAGCGAACTACTCTAGTGAGAGATGCAGGAGAATCACAAGTTAGATGTCTTCCTGTGCAGCACAGAGACACCTAGACTCAAAGAGAAGTTGAAATTAGAGAAAAGAAAATGGTCATCATTTAACAAAAAAGTCTGAGTAGGCTAGTCTCGTGCCTGAATTAATGGTGCTGAAAGCTCTGCAGCCTAATGCTGATTCAATTAGCAATGAAATATGTGAAGATTTAGGTTGTAGGCACCTGACTTTAAGACCACAAAGATGAATTTAAAGTAGTAAGATAATTTGATATGTCTGTGGTCAACATAAAATCAAAGAAGCTACAAAAGGTATAACAGAAAGGCAGCACTGTGCTTTAAAATGAGGTACAGGCACGCACACTGTTCTATAAAGATTTATATTACTTTAACAAATGCATCAACTAGCCTACTACAATGCCTGATAGTCACAAGAAACAAAGGAAGACATTTAAGTTTACAAATTGTGATTTTAAATTATGGTCAAAGGTATACTTTATATGCATTTCAGAAAGAGCATTTGTCGGGTGTGAAGGACTGCATAATCATTCTCTCATTTAATCAGCAGCCTCCCTTATCTTCCGTTATAAAGGAACTGGAGACCTAAGAGACTGGGAAACACCCTTAGCATCACCAAATCTTTAAGCAGGAGAGCCCACATTTAACTCTAGGCTGCCTGACGAGGAGCGCTACATTCTAAATTCCAGCTCCACAGCAATTCACTCTGGCCACATTTTGTTCGTTAATTCTAGAAGGAACAGAGATTTTTCTCCAATGGCAAGCCATGCAATGTAGTTAGCAGCTTCCATAGTCACACAGTGATTTCATTTAAGACTGACAATGACTGCTTGCTCTTTACCATTCTGTTGTTTAGTGTTGGATGACAAGGTGGAGATGGGAATACCTCACACACCTCATCACTTAATATTTTGCCAATTTTTAAATTAGTTGATTTTACCAAAATGAGTTTTGAAAAGTAGCAGGGAAAGGGAGTATAAACAGAAGAGAGGATTCTGGATATGGCAAATACTCTCTGGAAACCTTCAGAAGAAACGAGGGCATACTGTCTTCTAGAACACCCAGATTTAATATTTTACTAACGGGGCAGGTGCATTATTTACTCAATTTTAATTAATTAATTAAATGTATTGTGTGTGCATTACTATGGGGGGTGCTCTACCATGGTGTACCATGGTGGTCAGGTGACAGTTTGTGAAGTTGGTTCTTTCCTTCCACTGTGTGGCTTCCAAGGATGAGGTTGGTTCAGGCCGATGCAGCAAGCACTTTTACCTGCTGAGCCATCTTGCTGGCTCTAGTACTGTACATGTTTTCAACAGATTTCCTCATTAAAACTTGGATGTTCAACAATATCTTCTATCGTCCTATAGGAAATCTGAAGATCGTTTAGGGACCCAACTTGAAACTGAAATCTATTAAAACACCTACACATGTTACTTACGTGTTTTAGATAAAATTTTATTTCTTAAAAGAAAGGACTTCTTTTAAAAAGGTCTTAAGAAAAAGGAAGAGGGAAATTCTTACACATTTTCCTCTAGGGCCTATAGCTTTTCCATCAAAAGGTTCTTGGCATGGTTTATAGGATTGGATTGGAGCTCCCACTTACTGAATGGGTCCAGTCAGATAGCTGGCATTACCACCAAGACAGCAGTGTCTCTGCTGTGCCACAGGGCACCTCTCACCGGGCTAGCTGATCCGTTACACTTTGCAAATTTGATATGGTATGCCCATCTTTTCTAAATAATCATCCTTAAATTAAGAAGTGCAGCTCTCACCCCAATAACAAGTTTCTATTTGCATTAGGCAGAGGCTGCTACAGGGAAGCAGAATGATCAAGCTGCGGACAAAAAGATGCAGTGCGCCCATGCCATCGGTGTGACAGTGACTCCACTCAAGGCTAAGAGACATCATGGAAGAGGGGGCAGAAAGCCTGTAAGAGCCAGAGCACAGGCACTGCTGCAAAAGAGCTTCTTTTAGAAATCAAAGGAGAGCTGCAAATGTGAACTCAACAATATGGTTGCTTATAAGACCATACCAGCTGACGTCCCCGCATGGGTAGGGAAAGAGCTCACAAGACCTTACCTCTACGTAAGAGTTGCAGCCAATGGCTTCAGAAAAAGAAACTCAATTTTCTTCAAGGACAAGGCCCCTGACATGCTCCCATGCCCCAGAGGTGAGTTCTACACCCATGTACATATGAACAACACTAGTTGGACTCAGTAGGGTGGAAATCATATACATACACATATGTGTTTGTATGTACATACACATATACATATATATATATGCACACACACACACACACACACACACATTCACACACATATACATATATGAATAAGACAATTTGGGAGAAAAGCCATGTGAAAAATCATGGGAAGAGTTGGAAGAGAGGAGGGAGAGATGGGTTTAATGAAAATACATTGTACTCATGAATGCAATTCTACAAAGAAATTAAAGTTAAAAAATAAAAAGAAAGGGATTAAGATGGCTCAGTTAGCAGTGCTGACCTTGTAAGTACGAGAACCTGAGTTTCAATCACAGAACCCACATTAAAAAAAAAAAAAAGCCAGGGTGGAGCCATGGCTAAGCAGTTAAGAACACTGTCTGCTCTCGTACAAGAACTGGGTTCAGTTCCTAGTACCCACATGGTGGCTCAAAACCATCTGAACACCAGTTCCAGAGCATCTAATGGCCTCACCGCCTTTGGTACCAGGCACACATTGGCAGAAATATAAACTTGCTGGCATATACCCATTCACATAAAATAAAAATCAAATCTTAAAAAAAAAAAATTAACAAGGAGAAAATTTAAGTAACAGAAGATGGCAACTTCCTAAACAGAGACCTTCACACCCAACAGCAGCTACGCAGGAAATCTGGGTGGGAACCATGTCCCTGTACACGTGGATTCGCATGGAAGGCCGCCCCAGCGCATCAACATACCTGCTGCTTCATAATCTTCATCTGTTCTTTCTGCTTTCGCTTCTCTTCCGCAGCCATTATTGCTGCAAAGAGGAGACAAACCACACGCGTCATCCCGGAAACACAGGAGGAAGGCTAGCCTCTTAGGAATCCCCAACGCTTAAGTCACCTACCTTGTTGTTTTTTAGCTTCTTTGGCAACCCGAGCCTGTTCCTGCTTTTGAAGTTTTCTCAAAAGCTTTATTTGTGCTGCTTGTCTGGCTATTTCTGGGGGGGAAAAAAATCAAAGGGTACTATTGACAACTTTATGTTTCTGCTGAATCTCAAAGACATATGGTACAACTGGTGCGATGCCACCATGAATGATGCAATACCTGAGAAAATTTGAGCAGATGTTTACACATCCGGTAGAATAGTTTGGTAGGAAATGGCATGATCATTCACCCGCCTAGAATGGCCCACTAACCAAGGTAAGTGGATCTGGAAGTGTCTAATTTTAAGTAACAAACTACAGGGGTTAGTGGAAGGTAAAACAAAAACTGATGCTAAAATATATTTCCATCTTGCAACGTTCAATATTCGGAAATCATAAGCATCGCTAAAATGTTTTGAGTTATGTAAAAGATCTCTTATACTGTAAGTACCTTAAAAATAAATACCTCTAAATGGGCATTACAGAGAAAGCAACCACTGATAAAAAAAATATATATATATATGCTAGAAGAATAAGGCAAGATAAACACATTTAAATATTTTTTCCCCTCAACGTGGCTCAACTTGGTCTTAAGCTAAAAAGCATGTATGTTGAGAAAACAGTTTTCTGAAGCTGGAGAGAAGGCTCAGTGGTTAAGAGCACTGGTTGCTCTTCCAGATGACATGGGTTCAATTCCCAGCAGCCACATGGCAGCTCACAACTCTCTAACTTTGGTTCCAGGGAATCTGACATGCAAACACAGACATACTAGCAGTCAAAACACCAGGCACATAAAGTAAAAACAACTTAATTACTTTCTTAAAGTCTTGGAAAAAAAGTTACATAAATTGATCTTTCATTCTAAGTTAAATTCTTTCTCTAATAGAAGCATGGATTTCATACATTCTGATAATATCAAAATGAAACCAATAATTCTGTGCAAGAAATGGATGCTAATAAAAACTTTAAAAATTATGTGTCTGCCTTCATTTCAAAGGTAATGTACATAGTTTTGGAATTAGGTAACACAGCTCTTTCAGATATAAGTCATATCTTTGGCCAAAATATCCTAAAGCATTCTAGCAGGACTAAAATCTGAACATGCTGGACAGTAAGTACTCTTTCTTCCTAGGATTCATGGGGGAACCTGTCTCCATACTCCCAGATCTGTGACTTCAGGGGAAGGTGTTGTTTTCTGCTGTATATAATGTAAGGTGTTAAAGTTGGCCAATTAATAAGCTGATTTTATTTACATGCACTGAAATCTGTTATCATACACAAACTGTGTTAGATTTTAATCTTTATTCTCTGAAAACTTAGAGTTCTGTCAGAACAAAAAACAATTCTATGAACTTTTTTTGTACATTATGATGTATTTACAATGAACAGAAATACATTTTGTATATTTTTCTAGGTTTTATTATTCATAGAGATAATTCTTGTAATGACATAAATTCTGATAGACTTTTTTCTTTCTATCTATCTATCTATCTATCTATCTATCTATCTATCTATCTATCTATCTATCTATCTATCTATCTATCTATCTCAGTGTTCTGCCTGCATGTACTCTTGCACACAGGAAGAGGGCACCAGATCTTATCACAAATGGTTGTGAGCTACCATGTGGTTGCTGGGAATTGAACTCAGGACCTCTGAAGAATAGCCAGCACTATTAACCTCTGAGCCATCTCTCCAGCCCTCTGGTAGACTTTTAAATATAAGTTTAATTATTAAAAATTTAAGCCATCATTTATCTGTACATATATGCTTACAAGTTCAAGATATTTACATAAGATGAGAAGCTTAAGACAACCTAAAGGGGTTTCACCTTTATACAAAAATAACTCAGACCCCACTTCTTCTTAGTCTTCCCTGCGTCACAGACTGAGCAGCCCATGATGATAATTTAAGTATAATTTTGAATTAAAAGTACATTTCTAATCATTACAAGTAATTTGAGCTTAATAAGTACAAGCACACTCTCTGGTGCCCTTATCACCCCTTCTAAAATACACTGACCATATGAGGACTCTCCGAGCGCATACACAGACTTCAGGAGAATTAAAATGTTGAAGTTATTTACCAGTAACTGGAGTTGTCTGACTGAAAATTTACCTCACAGATAGAAATAATTTGGAGTCATTCTCATGTAAACATCAAGGAATTGGGAGGTGTTAAGAGAAGAACTCTGAAAGGAAGGCTGCACAGCCTTGGAGCATGCGCCAAGCACTGCTGGCTGACGCCCTTTCTGGGGAAGTCTTAACAGCACAACCGCACCCCTCTGACTGTAGTGCCCAGGATTTGTAAGTAGCTGTAGCTGTGGTTGTGCATTCAAAGAACTCTCGTTGCTAGTAACGCTCCTTATTTCCTCATCTGAGAGAAATTTCAATCACTCCCAAGTCAAAAGTACCAGAAAGATGACCACTGGATTTTGGTGTGATCGTCAGTGACAGACTGCAGTGGGTGCCTCTCACCTTGCGCCTGGAGTTTCCTTAGTAATTTTGCATCTGTGTTATCTAGGAATTCTGCACTGCCAACATTGGGAGGGCGACCCTTCCGGCGTTTCATCCTGGATTCCTCTCTTGCTCTCGGTCTATCTGGATTGGGAGGTCTTCCTCTTCGGCCATCCACTGCTCTGATACGAGGAATGACATCTTCTTCTTTCAAAAGACACCACTGCATTCCCTTTTGATGAATGAATTACAGAAATAAGTATTACAAACAAGATAAAAATGAAGGATCAACAGAATAGAGAATTCTAGTTAATATCAGTTGTTTTTAATTTATACACTGGCATAAAATTTAATTTTTTAAAAACTAAATTTAGGTTAGTTATTTTTCATATTTTATCCCATACCCTTATTATTGTTAATCAAATTTTTACCATAATTAAACAAAGATTTGTATCCATACTTGTAAGCATACAAAGACATAACATAATCATTTCTGAATATAATTACCACAGTTGGTAGATCTTTGAAAGTATCAGTTGTGTGGTGACTTCCCTATGGATTGTTGAGTTCACTGAAAACATTAGGTTACCCAGGTAACAGACAAACCTTTCTCTTATAACTATTATAGCTAATACATGAGAGACAAAGTTAACACGTTAGTCTTCTGTAATCACTAATGAAATAACAGTTGCCCCTGAGTGAGTAGCTTTTCATCAAAAAAGAGACAAGCTGGCAACACCAGGCTCCTGTCAGAGGTTCATGTCACCTTTAAAGCAATCCTGTTCCCACCCCCAGGCAAACTGGGATATGATCAAGATTCTAGATTTAATCACCAAACGTTAAAAGTAAGACTGGATGAGTAGTATCTCTTTAAAATACAAATAAAACCCAATCTGTAGGGAATTAACAAATGATCTGGCCTCTTCAGCTAATAAATTATGACAAGTTTAACAAACAGTACTGGAAAATTAAGTAGACTTTAAAAGCTGTATCAATTTATCAGCCTTACTTGGCAATCGATTCAAACAGACAAACTATTGAGAAAATTTTAACAACTGAAAACTAGAACAAATATTGATATTTGAAAAACATCAAAGGGAAAAAAAACCAACCATTTAAGTACAGTGACAAGTACATTTGTAACTGACATTACAAATATACTTGCTACAGGAACAGAAAATAACTACATATTCACAGTACAATTCCTGTTTTGTTCCAGACATTCTGAAGTCATTTTTGCACTTTGATCTTCACAACATTTCCAACTCATACGGCTGTGTTTCTTGTTCTTCCATGATCGCTCACAGAATGCAAGGCCAGCGAGGCTACAGGTGCCGAGAAAGCGAGGGAAATAATGTGACTCAATCTGAAAACAACCCCCAAGTCTCACACCTTTATATGATATGTTCGTGACTGTGCATCTGAGTTACAAAGATATTCTATCTTTTCACATATATATCTATAGGGTATATAAGGAACTGAGCACAACTTTTAGGACTTTATCAAGCCAAACATGTAACTAAAAAACTAGTGTATATATTGAAAATCTACTTGTTAAAAGCAGGGTATAACACTAGCTCTTCCGTGACTTGCATGCTAAAATAAATTTTAAATCCATCTTGATTAAAATAAAGTTAGCATCATCAACAACTGCACTGACTATCTTTTGGGCTCATACCACAGAAAGCCACCAGAGCAGCTAGGATAGACTGAGCTGTGATCTCCTTCAAGGAAAGCTTTTTATTTCATTGGATTTTCAACTCTTGGTTCTGATTTTAAACATCAAACTAACACATATCACACAGATCAAAAATAAACAAGTGGCATTTGTGACCAATGACAAGAAAGCACAATTAAGAATGTAAACAAATGTCCATACTCTTTTTAAAGTATCTTACTAATAGGAAAATCTGCTGTAACAGATTTTATTTTTTTTTAAAGTCAGTATTTAAGGGTCTTATATATTATCTTTTCTTACTCAAATTTTTATTCAATCACTTTTACATACACTCAGGAAAATCTGCTTGAGTCAAAAAAGAGGGTATAGTGTCTGAAACTTAGCAGACAGTGGTGACTTATGGTTTACATTTGTGCCCTTGGCGTTTGGAAATCAAATGTTTTTTAAGGGGACTGCATACCCTGGGTTAGATATAATGCCACGGAACTCCTGGATTTCAGAAAACAAGGTCTCCCAGGCTCCCCTAGTGTGAGTGACTCAGGGCTACATCATGAGCAGTAGTGAACTGAAGTAGGGCAGGGAGCTGCCTCAATGGACCATGTGCACATTACGGGGCTCACAATCTGGGAATTCGAATTAGACCTACAAAGGAAGGCAAAGGCTGAAGTCTTACAGGAGAAAGCACAAAAGCTGAAGAGCACCTGAATATGAAAAGGGAAAGCCGGAAGCCAACCTGAGCAGAAAAAACCCTACTTAGGAAGTCAGGGCTGTGATCTCACATCTCAATCCTGCAGTGCCCTGATATCTTCTTCAGTTCTTGCTCCATGTTTTACTTTAAATAACCTATAAACTGACTTATTTTGAAGGGAAAACCGTATAGAAGTCAACAGTTAACGAGTCCGGGAGAATAACCTAAGCGGTCCATTTGCCAAATTTCTCAGTGTTAGTGTCACACTGACTACAGTGTGGAGTTGCAGTTCCATTCATTCCTCTAAGGACTCGTTTTCCAAGTTAACACTTGAGATATGAATGAGAGATTCTGGCTTTTCTGTTTATTTTTTTCTTGAGACAGGGTCTCACTATATAGTCTTGCTTGGCCTAAATATTGCTTTGTAGATCGTGCTGCCTTCAAATGCAGCCAACTGTCTGTACTGGGTTAAAGGCATACATCACCTGGCATGGATGGGACCTTATTATCTTATGCCCCTGTCTCTTAGAAGTAAATAACTGTGGTGTGTGGTTGGAATCTAGACTAAGGCATTTGTTGTGATAATTTTAGAACTTTTAATTAGTCATTTACTGAACATATTTATCCCTAAATACTTTTTAGTCAATTTAACAACAGGTTAAAAATAAATGTAAGCCAGGCGCAGTGACTTAAACCTGTAATCCCTGTACTTGGGGAGGCAGGGGCAGGTGGATCTCTGAGTTTGAGGCCAGCCTAGTCTGCAAAGCAAGTCCAGGACAGCCAAGGCTACACAGAGAAACCCTGTTTTCAAAAACCAAGAAAATAAAATTAAATTAAAATTAAAAACTTCTCCCTGAAAGTGTACTTTCAGAATCTCTTCCTTTTTAACAGTTTACACAAAATGTTCAGAATGTCATACCTAAAAGACAAAGGATCTTTTTTTTTTTTTAAGTTTTACTTATTTTATGTTTATGAATGTTTGTTTTATGTTTATGAATGTTTCCTGCCCCTATGCAAGTATGCTGGATACACGCCTTGGTGCTCAAACAGGCCAGAAGGTGGTGCAGGATCCTGGAACTTGGGTTATCTGTGATCCTGTGGCTCCCCTGGAACGTGACTAATCTGTGGCTGTCAGCTGCCATGTGTGTGCTGGGAACTGAGCCTGGGTACTCTTCAAGAGCAGCCAGTGCTCTGACCCTCTCTCCAATTCAGAAGAGGAGGGACAGGAAAGATCTGATACATGCACTTCCATTTCAGGTGTGGGAACTAAGCAAGCCTTGGTGCTTCAACTTGTCATGGGATAATAACTGCATGGTTTAGAAGTCCAAGGAAAGTCACAGGACACGCGCAAAGCACATATATCAAATACTTTTCAAAGGTTTTGACAACTTGTAGTTTAATGAAAGTGCTAAATTTAACATGAAGAAAAGTGGGGTTCAGTCAGCTTTTCCTATGGCTGGTGTCTAGTTTCCATTGCTTTCTGCTTCCAGAGCAGCTCAGAGAGCCTGGTGTCCCTCACATGAAGGGCACTGGGCAGCCTTGGTCTCTCCTAGTTAGTTACACAGCTCATCAGTGACACACACTATTTTGAGTAGCATTTTAAGAGCTATAAAAGTCCAAAAATAGCTTTCTCTGGGAGAAGATGGGTGTCACCCCTTACACACAGTGCAGGAAGGTGTAGTTTGATACAGTTATCTCCACACAGTTGATCATGCCGTCCCACTGACCAAAACAGGTGACCCCCGACATCACAACTTCATGCGTGACTTCTGGGCTCAGTTTAGGAGGGGAAAAAAGCACATGGAAAGAAGAAATGAGTTTAAAGTGACTCAGAATGACGTTTAGTAGCTACACACTTGGACTTACTTACTTTTAGCCACTAAAATCCTACCTGGTAAATCAGTGACATAAATCCCCAGACTCCTCCCCTGTCCGTGCTGATCGCTCATGTTCCCAGAGCCTGTGTGTGTCCAGGCTAGCTTGCACAGGGGTGGCAGTTAACAGCAGAGCTGGATTAGAACTCTGGTTGTTGACTCCCAATCTTTTGTTCTTTACTTAATTTAAAATTATCGCCATCACTATCATTGTGACTAAGACCATGTGTTGCCCTAATTATTACAATGGCTCCTTTTTCTTTCACCAGAAGAGCCCTTTCCTGGCAGATTGCTATGAAATCCACCAGGTAATACACTTCTTTGTAATTCACATCTTAATGTGCTATTTTGTTTTTTTCTTCAAATTTAGACTTTTCAACTTCATTCCTACAGCAACAGGCATATTCACAATTTCCTTTGTGGAAAAAAATGTCTTTGGGGAAAATTGGGTAACACTGTTAGTCATAAATATTTATAAAGCGATTGAAAAAACTGGCTATTTTTTAAAAGAAACACATTTTACTTTTCTTATGGCATTATGCCATTAAATAGAATCCTTCAAACCCAATCTCAGAAAGTTTCTGAATCATGTGTAACTACTTACTTCTGCTTTGTATACATCTTTCCCTATTTTGTCCTCCCTTTCTGGGGAACTCTTTGTGTTTTTTGTTTTGTTTCTTCCTTACATTAAGTTAGAGAAGACATTTAACATCCTAAATGCCTCTGAACTTACTTGGTGAAAATATGGAATCTTTTAAAAAAGTTATTCTTAATTAAATACCTCATCTATTACAATCCACACAGCTGCTTTTCAGAATGCGGATAGTTTAAAAAACTCCTTGTCAAAGCTGTGACGTGTCACTAGGGCGACTTCTGGTACTCCTAGAGGCCAACACGGACAGGAGAAAGGAGCTTTTCCAAACGTACCAAAACCAAGTCAGCATAAACATTTTCTATTACTTTGGTAACTAAAACCAATAAAGAAAATAAAA